GGATCAATGAATGCTGGGATGGGTATTAATGATGCTGGGATGGGTATTAATGATGCTGGGATGGGTGTCAGTGAATGATGGGATGGGTATTAATGATGCTGGGATGCTGCAAAAGGTAAGTTCGTATTTTGGGGTGAAGTCCAGGAGATGATATAACTCTGGATATTCTATGAGCGGAGCACAAATAGGACTAAAGAGACCTTCCAGGGCAGTGGTCACAGCACCAAACCTCACAGAGCTCAAGGAGAGTTCGGATGATACTCTGGGGCACAGGGTGTGACTCTTGAGGATGGTCCTGTGCAGGGCTGAGGGCTGGACTCGATGATGCTTGTGGGACGCCTCCAACTCGGCATATTCTGTGATTGTGTGGTTCCCACACGCCGAGAGTCTCCCGTGAGCAGCTCCGGTGTGCGGGCACTGGGCAGCACCGCGGGGCCGGTCCCACCCCGGGGCCGCCCCGTCCCCGCCCCGCGCACTCGCGGCGCGATGTGGCCGCGCTGGGCGCTGCTCGTGGGGCTGCTCCGGACCGCGGGCGGGCGGGTGAGTGCGGGCCGGGGCTGTGCGGGGGGCTGCGGGGGGCTGAGGGGGTTCTGCCCGCCGCTCCTGGGGCGCGGGGAGCGCTGCGGAGCGAGAGCGCCCCGGGTGGAACGCGAGAGGGCATCGCCTCTGGGGACCGCTCCCGGAGATGCGCTGCGGGCACCGTGTCACTGTGGGGTGGGTGAGTCACCTCTCTGCCCTTGTCACTTCTCTGCCCTTGTCACCTCTCTGCCCTCTGTCACCTGCCGGCCCCGTGTCACCTTTGTAGCCCTTGTCGCCCGTCTGCCCCCTCTTACACAGAACTCGCTGTGATCTCTGCAGCAGCCTCAAGTCCTGCTCTTGAGACTCCTTTAAAGCTCACCCGGCTCCCCTTGGCTATGCCGTTGTTTTTCTTGGCTTCCCAAAGCAACACGAAACCGTTTTTCCTGGATTTTCATTGGGAATAGGTTGGTTTTTCAGGCCTGTTTGAGTATTTGTAAAAACTGTGTGTGTCCTGGCAAGTGCAGGGTGTAAATCCGTACGCATTTTACACCGTTGTTCGAACAGGAAGAGCTTGTTGTGCTCTGTTGGTTCCCTAGAACTCTTCCTTATTTACGTAGAAAAGCCTTTTAATTTACAGTGGAGACCTGATGTGCTGCAGCTGGGACTGTTCTCTCATTCCAGCTGGGACTGTTCTCTCTCGTGTCCAGCTGTACCACTCTTTGGCAATGAGGGCTGGTAACTGCTTCAACCAAAGAGCTCCATGGGATCTGTTTGTCTTGGATTCTGTGCTTGCTGTACTGGTCTATCAATGGCATTTTTCTGTCTGATTTTAAAATGTCCAGGATCGTGAAGACCAATATGGAAATGCTGCTGAGATGTCCAGGTCATTGTGTTTTCATGGGATATTCATGTTATGTACATGTTTATTTAATCACAGGAATTTAGGCTTGATAAGACAAAGGTTCAGTGAAACCAGGTGAGGATGTCAGAATGTGTATTGAGCCTGGAATTACACAGTGGTCTTTCAAAGAGTACTTGGTGCTATAGTAGGTTGACAACATATTAAAATAATTCTTTTAACTGTTTCTTATTTTGATGATATTTTGAACCTGATTTACTGGACACTTTGCAGTGGGTAGGGTACAAAAGACGAAGAAGAGAGGGTCTCAGAATTTAAGTGTAAAGTTCTGTCGTGTTCCTTTCTGAACAAGGGGCTTCGACTCAAAAGGAATTAACTCTCCTCTCACCCTAAACATGGCAAAACATAATGATGGAAATAATGAAGGAAATTTTCAGCATTTCTTTCTGCATTGTGACAAACCAAAGAAAAGTCTCCATATAAAGTCAGAAAAACAAACAGAGTAGTTTCAGAAGTACCACATCTGCCACAGAGCTGGAATAAAACCCCTGTCTATTATATCAATTTTAAGAAGCGATTTGTTATAGAAAACTTATTTTATTTTTGAGGGAGACAAATTGGCAAAGCAATAGTTCTTGAGTGACACTATTTCCTGTTTTATCTCATTCAGCTGAAATTCTCTGAACACTCCTGGCCTCACTCCCTGTGTCAGTCACAGGAACTGAACATTACTTTTACCATTTTGAACAACTGAGTCACCAGAGTTACTCAGAAATAGCCTGAATTTTTCAAACAGAAGAGCTGGTGAAGTATCCATGTTTTCCCAAATAGACATATAATAAAGATTGTCTTCCTACAAACTTCTGACTTCTATGATTTTGGCATGTTGGGAGTAGCTTCCATGTTCTGTGCAGCTTCTGCCTTCTCTTTTGGGAAGCTGTTTTCATGTTGTGATGGTGGGTGGCAATGAAGTAGAATTTGCACAGAGACACTGTTTGCTCAGGGAAGGGGAATGTGGAGCTGTAAATCTCTTTGTGTGTGGTTGTACAAGGACTCATGCTTAATAGAAATAAAGTGCAATATAGGATGGGAGAATAATTCACATAATGGACCCATATCTTAGAGATCTGTGCAGCTTTAAAAGAAACTTCATGGTGCGAGAATAGTTGGTGCAGCCTGAAACAGCTCCAGCTCATTTTGGTGAGATGCTGTTATCTGGTAACTAATCTTTCACAGAATTATTTTTGTTAATGACCAGTTTAAATATTTCAGACAGAATTGGGGGTTTTTCCTGTCTCCAGCAGGTCTGGTAGCTCAGCAAAGGGTGTCTCTGTACCTCAGGTCCTTTCCATAGGAACAGACTTTTACGACAGAGGCCTCAGTGACTTCATTGTGGTTTCATGTGCGAACAGAACGTTGTGCATAGATGTAGTTCCTCTTCAGACTCCTTTGATTGGCAGCTTCAGTTTGAAGCAGGCAAGGGGACCAATAAAAAGGTAGTTAGGATTAAAATATACACTTAAATATCTTTGTTTAAATGGCCTTCTTAAGTGAAAATGAATGCGATGTGAATGGAGATATATATATTCATCATTATATTAACATGTATTTTTATTATTTAAGATACTTAAATTTAATTACACATGAAGTGCTCTTGGTGTGGAGACTGCTGTTAGCCTGCTCCTCTCCAGTGAGAAAGTAGGTCCCCTGTGTACTGGGTGTCTGTAGTGCAAATGGGAATGTGGTTCAAAGAGTGCAGGGACTCTGGAGAGTCTGGAGTCATTGCCTTTGTATGTGTAATTTCTTAGTTATTGCTTAGTGCACAGGCATTGCAAAAATCTCCCTGGTGAGTTGTGTAGTAAAAGACAGTCATAGTTTACCCATTTCTGTGCCAAAATGCATTGCTTAATTTGGTTGCTGTGCATAGAGCGAGACTAAATTTCGTGTTAAAGAAT